GGTGGGTTTCTGACATAGTTGTCATAAGAAAAATATAACCTTCCTCTGTTTATTGCAATTACCTTACTTGACTGACTTACTGTTATTGCCACTTAATGTTCCTAATAATTTGTTAGCATTCCTACAGTGGGATGGCCTTATATTTTCAAGGGTTGATCCAAAACCCAGCAATGTTAAGGAAAATCTTTCTATTGATCTAAATAAGTAGCTAGCAACCTTTTACAACCCACAAGCCAGAACAACTTAGCTCTGGTCCAGTGCAGGCCAGGAGGCTTTCCCCATGCCCATGCTGGGTCCAGGCAGATGGGAGCTGCACCCACGCCACTGCTGCTTCTCCCAGCTCCCTATTAGGGAATAGCTGTGGTTGGGATGTAGCTTCTGGCTAGTGGGTAGCTGCACCGGGACCAGTATATACAAACTGTATGTGTTGCTGCTGCTTCTCCCTGCTCCCCCTTCCCCCAACACAGCTGTAGTACAGGTCCATCTAAACATTGCCCAACCCTACTGCAGCTCCCCACCAGCTGGAACCTGTGCTTGCACCACAGCCGCGTGTGGGGAAGAAACGGTAGCAACGTGGATGCAGTTTGCAGATACCTGATCCTGGTGCAGCTACCCGCAGGCTGGAGGAGCCAGGGAGTGAAGGGGGTGGGAGAACCAGTCATGGCATGGGTGCAAACAAAGCCTCATGCTACTGATATGCTGCTAAAACTATCTAACCTGTGGCAGGCTGGAGATAGGAGGGCAGGGAGAAGTGACAAGAGCACAGGAGCAGCTGGAAGCTGCTTGGCCCCAACACAGCTCCTTGCTGCCTAGGAATAGGCACAGGTGTGAGCCTTTCAGTGGCTCTGTGGGATGAATCTGGCCCACAGGCTGTATGTTGCTGATCCCAAGCCCAAATTGCTAAATTGACATTCTGGAAGTTGGGAGTGTATTTGGGTTATACCAGAGACTTCTTGTGTGCTCATGAGCAAACATATCTTCTATGTTTTGTTTTCCCTATCTAAAATATGAGGATTATAGCTTTTTGATGTTAGTAAAGTGTAATGGAAAATCCTACATAAATACAAAGCATTGTCAACAAACTAAATATTGTCACCTCTAAGCCCTATCAGACAACTATGATTAAGTAATTCTATTACATATTAGGTATTAAACTAGATCTTGAACTCTTGCTGTATTTGATGCTGCATTTGGTTTATTATTGCTCTGTCATGTCTTTTCTGGGAGCACAGAAAAATAATAAGGGGATGATGTAACTTAATAATGGAGTCCTCTTTTATTAACCCCAAGGAACTTCTGCTAGGAACTTCTGAGAGTGTCCCATTCCTGATACTCCAGTGTAGGCTGAGTGGGAAGGGATAGTTATTTCTTGTATCTGAGGGGACAGCTGGAAACCAGTTGCCATCTTTCAAAACCCTGAAGCATAAGTAAATAAACTTCATTTTTTGTATAAATATAGAAGTAGTAAGATTTTCTCGTGATATATAAAGATTTAAACTTAGTTTTGCTTTGTTTAAACAGATAAACTTGCTGGCTTTCTATATTGTGGTTGGAACAATTTTAAAGATGCCCAATCTGTCTGTAGAAGCGACACACAGTGTGAAAGGTATGTTGAGATACTGATCCATATAACAGAGCCTCTATCCTATCACTCTAGGAGAGAGGGAGCCAGGGAGTAGCTGGCTGGCTCCAGCCCTCTGGAGGAACTGATAGGGGCAGAAGGCCCTTTAATACAATGGCTGCCTGCTCCAGGTGTGGCCAGGGCAGAGCAGCCTGTGATTGACAGGCCTGGGGTGGAAGTAGTGCATCAGGTGACCCAGAGAAGGGGTCTGAGGCCTTATATAACCATGACTGTAGCTAAGGCCAAGGGAGAGAAGGGTCTGACTGGCTGAAGAGAAAGGACTCCAGACTGCAGGGGCTGCAGAGATAAGTTTTTGGGCCATATGTTGTACCTTGTTGAAATGGTGGAACTTTGACCTGGGGTTGGGGAAATCTTTTGTCTGGGAGCAGATGTTCATATTCTGTGTTGCTTTGAAGTGACCGGAGGACTAGTCTGTGGCTGTAGGGGAGGAGGAGGTCACTGCAAAGGGTGCTAGGGGCACACAGGAGGCCTCAGCCCAGACAAAGACCTAAGACCTGAAGCAACGCCCCCATCCCCCGCCCCGACCTCTAGGGGCAGCCTCCCTGTCCAATTAAAACACCAAGGTGTGGTAGACAAGCTGACAGGGTGGGACCTTGAGATGCCAGAGGGGGCAAGCAAGGTGGGATCCAGGCAACTGCTAGGGGGTGACTTGGCCGCCCTAGGGCCAGACGCGATACAATCCGTCATTGGCCTCTCACACAATGAATAGCTACAGAATCAAATTTGGAGATAGTGTGTTCCATTTTACAAAATATTTTGAAGCATCATCTGTCCCCTGTGACCTATGACATGCTGCAATCTCAATAGAGGGTGGATAGTGTAGAATTTTATATGTATTTGTACAAATCATTCATCTTCTCAACCTGATTTGATTCATTGTTCCATGCTGATCACTAATGCATTTGAGCTCCTTTCACTGGTACTTTTATACCCTTGTTCATCACTAACCTTAGGTGCTTAGACATGGATACTAATAAGATGCCTTGTGCCACTTTCAACTTTGCCTCTTCCTCAGCAATCCTCACATTTGTCATGTGCAGTCTAATTATTGCAATTTTTTCTCCCACATTTAAAGGAGCAAAGCACATATGATCCAGATTGTCTCCTCTTTGGAATAAGACACTATCATCAGTAGCATAACCAAAAGCAGGGTAATTGTGACAGGAGCCCCAGGCACCACTTCAGTGCATGGCATGAAAATAGCCACCACTTCCACAAAGCTGCCCTGACATCACTTTACAGATGTCTGTAATCTCCATTTCCTCCCAATTTTCTGTAGTAGTAGTAGTTTATTTACAGCTTTCACCAAAACAGTATAATAAAGTGAACAATAAAATTTTATATAAGACTTGGAACACATCATTTATATCAATCGTATTTTTACTAAAAACATACAATAAGATTATCTATTCTACCAATTTATACAGTTATTCAAACAAAAGAAAATATTTAATTATCTAAAATAAGAGGTAAAATGAAGCAACGAACGATAAAACAGGACAGGACAAATTCTATTTGATTTTGGCCCTTATTGTTTGTGCAAATAACACAGATACACCTAAGAAGTATAAGACAGGCTCCAAAGTATTAGAAAGACACCATATTGTTTTTTCCTCATTAGCCCAATATTTAGTTTTCCCATTAATGGAGAGAGCCATTTCCCTCTTACGTCTTCAAAAACGTACAAGACCACAAATAATGATTTAAATCAGCAGTCTCATTCTTCACACAAGAGCATATTCTATTCAAATATGGAATCTGACACCATCTGCCCATGACAACTGCAGATCTCATTAGCATGAATCTTAATTTAGCGATGGCCTCTTGCTCTTTGTAGTTTTGCATCACAGACACATAGGCTTCTGGGACAAAGAAGTGTTTTATTAATTTTAAAGAAAGGGGACATTCGAGACAGACTCACTGCCAGCATATCCATCTGCATGCTGACATCCTTGCGCAAGCAAGGCCCTATGAGGAGAGACTGAGAGACCTAGATCTCTTCAGCCCTTGCAAGAGAAGGCTGAGAGGTGATCTTGTGGCTGCCTATAAATTCATCAGGGGAGGGCAGCAGGGAATAGGAGATGCTCTATTTATTGGGACACCCCCCTGGAGTAACTAGGAACAATGGCCACAAATTGACGGAGAGCAGATTTAGGTTGGACATTAGAAAGAACTTCTTCACAGTAAGGGTCGCCAAAATCTGGAATGAGCTTCCAAGGGAGGTGGTGCTCTCCCCAACCTTGGGGGTCTTTAAGAGGAGACTGGACAAGCACCTAGCTGGGGTTGTCTGCCCAGGGCAGGGGGTCAGACTCGATGACCTACTGAGGTCAGTTCTGACCCTAACATCTATGAATCTATAAGGTATTTAAAGGAAGATACTACCACCTCTAGATTCCTTTCCTGTAAAAACCGATCCCATTTCCTTCCTTCATTTCCAAAGACAGTTACACTGGTTTTGGTTGTATTGATTTCTAACCTATTGGAGTTCTAGTACTGTTGAAAGGAATCTAATAATCTTTGAAGACCTATTTGAAATTGTGACAGAATTAATGTATCATCTGCATAAAGCAGGAGAGAGATGTGATCATTCAAAATCATGGGTAATTGGAATCGATTCCTTGTTAGAATCTGTTTTAAATCATTCAAGAATAAGTTGAAAGTCAGTGAAGCAAGCAGACATCCTTGCCATACCCTGTTTTAGTTGGGAAACTATTGGATAGGGCACTGCCAATTCTATTACGCACATTTGATGCTGTTTTTGAATAGCAAGTGACCATTAATTGTAGGAGAGCTTTGTCTATTGATGTTGTTGCCAGTTTCTTTTATAATTTGAATCTGTCTATGGAGCCAAAGGCTTTCTTGAGTTCTATGAAGACTTCATATAGATAATTTTGCCTTTTAATATATATAGATGACAGATAATGCAATGCCAAGCAGTGGTCCATGCAGGACTAGTCTTCTCTAAAACTAGCCTGCTCTTCTCCCAAAATATTACTTTCAGAGATCCATGTCTAAAGGTGAAAAATAAATATCTCCAAAGTATTTTGGCAGGAATACACATAGGGCTAATAGGGCGATAAAATGCAGGAGCTCTCTTGTCACCATTTTTAAAAACTGGGACTATTATACGTTCATTCCAATACGTTGGATAAATGCATTCTAAAATAATTATATTAAAAATTTTGGTCAGAATTGGGCACCATCAGGCAATTAATTCCTTGAAGATTTCTGAGGAGAAAATCGAGGCCAGAGGGCTTTCCATTTCCCAGTAAGAATATATATGATCATACATGAGGTTCAGAGATGAGATAATGATCTACTTGTAGCTTAACAGATAAAATTTCCTTCAACCAGAAGCTACCATTTCCTTCACCATCTTCAGAAAAGTGGTTAAACTTGTTTTTAAAAAAACAAGACTCACATATCTTCAGGGATATATGCATCAGGAATTACATTAAACACTTTTCATTCCATTTTCTAAGCTTTAATCTCATTCTACAAGGCATCAGTGAACCATAATCCAGCTTCATTAGAACACCCCAAAGTACACTAGTTGTGTTTTGTGAGACGATAGATAAAGAAGGTCCAGGGAAAAAGCAAGATACATTCCAAATGTTTGCTTGGTTTGGTTTTAAGAATTGGTTTTGGTAAGATTGGTTTTGCAAAAAAATGCATCTGGCTATGTTCTCTAAAATTAGTTTGAGCTTTGGCTTTTCCAAGTACCATTCTAGCAATCAGGGCTTCCAGTGAGACAAAGAGTAGAGCCCAATTTGAACCTATGTCATGGAAAGAAAGATATAGATTACATTTACGTGTTGCTCAGATGCTTTTGGAGGTATGGTAGAAGTGCTAAGCCATGAGAACTGTAAAATACTCCCTAATGCAGACCAAGGAATCAGCAGGCAACCTGAAATTCATGTCAGGAATTAGTTGCTTAATTTCAATAATCATGGGACCTTTCCTGATTCACGAGTTTAATTTTCTTTTATTATGAGTTTGTTAATTTTTTCATATCTGGTGTAAGTTAATAATGTTACATGTTTTCTTTCCAAATCAGTATTTTATTTATAGCCAATATCACAGAGCACATTTCAACAATTAACCTACATTTGTTGTCTCCTACAGAACAGAAGAATTCAAGTTTCTTCTGCTATAATGAACCACCAGATGAGGCTTTAAAGCCTAACGTAATTAAATTATATCTTACTGAGCAAAACTTAGTAAGTTCCCTACTATAGGTTGATAGCTACTGCTTGCAGTTGTTCAGTACATGTAGACAGAAATATAGCACTACTATTTACTGCCTTACCTGTATAAATTGAAAATTGTGAATGAATCATCACTGAAAGTTGAAGCGGTTACCACATGTGTAAACTTTTATATATAAAATAAGGTTTTCACTAAGAATGAAGGTATTCTTATTAGTTGTTCTCTGTCTTGAGTAATGACCGTAAGGATGAGAAATGACCTATAGTTTAGAGCAGAGGTGCCCTACCTTTTGGCCCCATAGGCCAGATGAACAGTATCAGGCAGGGTTCAAATTACACTTTGACTCTTGAGGGCAGTGGGGGGTCTGCAAAAAAAAAAATTGGGCTGCCCATCATGATGCCCTAATAAAATCGGAGAGCCTCCAGGTTATGATTTTCAAATCTTACAAGGGGGCTCTTGTCTCTTATGGTGGGGCTCAGCCACCCTCGCTGCCCCCATAATTCAAACCCTGGTATCAGGCTGGTCTGCAGGCAGGATCCAGTCCACAGGCCAGACCCTGTTACATGGGGGACCAGAGAGGCCAAAATCCCTTCATGAGGGATTTAGAAATTTGGTGGCAAGTGAGCAGTGGCAGTGTTAATTTCCTGCATTCCCTGGCTGCTAACTTTCTGGACTCCCCTCAGACTGAAGCCTCTCAGGCTGAGCAACATGGCTCTGTGGGTTGGCTTTGCCCTTTGGGCCAGGATTTGAGCACCCCTGACTTAGAGCTAGGCACTGATCAGATGTCATTCTAAAGGTACTTTCCGTTAGATTTGTTACATTTTATTGAATTTAATCGGATGTCTCAATGACAAGATAATCTGATCTTTCTTAATATGTCCATTTTTCATAGGGGTACTTTTGCTAATAAAACCATGTTTGGAGTAGGTTCACTCCAAATGAGCCACTCCTGTTCTATGATTTCATTAGCAATGTGACACCTTGGAACACTGCACACGAAGTACTTTTTAACATCTATTTGGGGTCACGTGTACTTTTACTTGATATAGTCCTTTTGTTAAATACAAGGTATATTTTCTATTGTTGCAACACAAAAGCTGCAGGGTTGCATTTTGTCTTGTCATATTATATACCATTAGTAAGCTTGCCATGGTTCAGAATCACACAGCCTGCTCTTGATTTTAAAACTTAAACCTCTACTTTGTAAGTGTATAATTGTGAAACTATAGTCACTTGCAAGTATAGTTTTTTGCATGTTTGCAGGTGTAAATTTGATCACTTGTTTGTACAGTGGAATGACACTTTTCTACATAATTTGTTTTTTTCATGCAATAACTGTGTACAAATAATAGCAGGTGTGCCTAAACTTCACATATACAAGTGACTGTATATACAAAGTTGCTTGCACGCAGAGAGCTGTGTTTTGAAAATAATCTCTTAATGTGTACAAACACATAGGGTTTTGTATTTAATTTTATTGAAAGTACCTGTGTTCAATAGCATCAGACTTGCTCGGTTGCCTGTGTTCTGATATTAATATCCTCAGGTCATTCTAAAGGTTAGAGAGCATCAGTGTCTGATGCCCATAGTTGCATTGATGCTAAGCTTCTGGTGTGCATTGGGGCAATAACTGGGAAAGTATCATTGGTCAGTGTTATTTGGCTTTACAAATACATATGTATAAACAAAATCAATTGTTATTTTGCTGAACTTTGTTTGTTTTTTTAAGTTTTGCTTGTTTTAGCAACATGGTGGAAATTTTCCAACATAAAAATTAGTGTTTTTTTGTCCCCAAAGAAAATCAGCTGTTATGTATATGATGTAAATCTGGAAGATACTTTGGAGAACAGAAGGAGGCTTTTGCTATTATATACATCAGCAGGACTTACACCCAGCATTCAGATCTTCAACAGTACCTATTCTAAAGTCTTCTACTTCAAAATGAAACTGGTAAAATTCCAGGGTTTCCCAAAATTCAATCATTGTTGATAAAAACAATTATATAAGTAATGGGCTGCATCAATAATAGAAGTAATTCATAGATTCATAGATGTTAGGGTCGGAAGGGACCTCAATAGGTCATCGAGTCCGACCCCCTGCATAAGCAGGAAAGAGTAAGACCCCCAGGGTAGGGGAGAGCACCACCTCCCTTGGGAGCCCGTTCCAGACCCTGGCCACTCTAACTGTGAAGAAGTTCTTCCTAATGTCCAATCTAAATCTGCTCTCTGCTAGCTTGTGGCCATTATTTCTTGTAACCCCCGGGGGCGCCTTGGTGAATAAATACTCACCAATTCCCTTCTGTGCCCCCGTGATGAACTTATAGGCAGCCACAAGGTTGCCTCTCAACCTTCTCTTGCGGAGGCTGAATAGATCCAGCTTCTCTAGTCTCTCCTCGTAAGGCATTATTGTCTGCATTACAATAGTACCTACCATCAGAAGCCCTACAGTCAGGAATGAGGCCTCAATATTATAGGAGCTGTACTTCTTTAACTTTCTTCCTCCCCTACCAGACAGTCAAAATTAGCTTTAGCTTTTCATGTTAGAAGCAAAACCAGAAAAAAATCTGCTTAGGTAAGGTTGAGTCCAATTTAACCCGTCATTCTTAGTATTTTTTTTAAGTTTGGGGATGAAGGAGGGAGAATTGGAGCAAAAGTTGAAATAATACAGAAAGGATTATGAGAGAGGTGAAGAAAAGTGGTATCAAATAATAGAGCGTCATAGCAGGGAAATATGACACAGAAGGATTGAAGAGAAACTAGAAGAGTTACAAGTTTGCTAAGAAGGTGCACAAGGCTGGGATGTGAATGGAATGGCAGAATCCTCCCCACATAGAGAAAAGTAGGTGCTACAACCTTTCAGAGCTTCATGTGTTTCTGAATGTATGATTTGAACAGCAGAATTAAATCCAGAATGAATAGAAAATTGAGGTTCCAGTTTCCCCACATTTTGTTCAGCCTTTACACAGATTCCAAAGCAGAAAAATGCAGTCCACAAGATGTCAAGACCTTAAGACAATAGTTAATCTTTTGACAAAAATGCATGAGAACATCTGTGAGTGATCCATGCTGTTGAATCCAAATTGTAGTCCTGATATAGTTCAAGATGACTCTAGCGCAGTGGTTTTCAATCTGTGGTCTGCGGACCTCTGAGGGTCCATAGACTATGTTATAGAATCATAAAATCATAGAAGTAGGGACGGAAGGGACCTTGTAGATCTTCAGGTCTGACCCCCTGCCTGGGCAGGAAGAAAACTGGGTTCAAATGACCCCAGCCAGGTAGGCATCAAGCTGCTTCTTAAAGACCTCCAGGGTAGGAGCCAGCACCACTTCCCTTGGAAGTTGGTTCCAGATCCTAGCCGCCCTAACTGTGAAGTAGTTCTTACAGATGTCTAATCTAAGCCTACACTCCAACAACTTGTGGCCGTTATTCCTTGGTGTGCTGGGGGGGCGCTAGGGGAAACAAGGTCTCCCCCAAACCCTTCTGGTCCCCCCTAGTGAGTTTATAGATGGTCACCAGGTCCCCCCTCAGCCTTCTCTTGTGAAGGCTGAACAGGTTCAGGTCCCGTAGCCTCTCATTGTAGGGTCTGCCCTGCTGCCCCGGATCATGTGGGTGGCCCTCCTCTGTACCCTCTCAATGTTGTCCACATCCCTCTTGAAGTGGGGTGCCCAGAACTGGACACAGTACTCCAGCTGCGGCCTGACCAGTGTCGCGTAGAGGGGGAGGATCACCTCCTTGGCCCTACTTGAGATGCACCTGTGGATGCACGATAAGGTCCGGTTGTCCCTGCTGATCGTGACCTCACATTGTTGGCCCATGTTCATCTTGGGATCAGTGATGACTCCAAGATCCCTTTCTGCCTCCATGCTCTTAAGAAGGGTGTCCCAGGGGAGCTGGGGTTACAGGAGGGCCCCAGGCCAAAGGAGAGCCTCACTTACCTTCTGCAGAGCCCGAAGAGCAGGAGGAGATGTGCGCGGTGAAACTGCCATCACAGCTGATCAGCCACACTTATATTCAGCTGCAGCCGGGCAGCGTGAGCAGGAGACGCTGCCCGGCGGAAATAAAAAGCTGCCCCGAGGATGCGGTGGGGCGGCGGATGAGCGGAGGATCGTGGAGGGATCCCTCACCCAGAGGGGCTCAGCTGCTGCGTCAGGCAGCGTGGGAAGTCAGGGGCGGAGCCAGGAGAGGCGCCAACAGTGGAGCCGACAGAGTCGGCAGTGACGCCGACAGCAGAGCCGGCAGGAGAGCCAGCAGTGAGGCCAGTAACAGAGCCAACAGAGTTGGCAGTGACACCGTCAACGGAAGCGGCAGCAAAGCTGGGAACGACACCGGTGAAGGAGCTGGCAGCGACCCCTGCAACAGGGCTCACAGAGAAGCCAGGAGAGAAGCTCCAGCAGCAGCACCTGCAGCGGAACCAGCAGTGGTACCGGTGGAGGAGCCGGTTACAGACGCAGGGAAGGTAGCGTCGGGCAAGCAAGCGCTGGGATCAGAATGCGAGCCTGCAGTAAAGCCTTGGAGAGGAGGTAACAGGGGCGGCCAACGGGGATCCCCCATCGGGTGTCGCCGGAGGGCAGCCAAAGACCCCAAGGAGGGACGGGACAAGTGGCGGACAGGGCCCACTACAGCCCTAGGATAAAAGGCTGGGACTCAATGCCTGAGTAGGGCAAGCCACCAGGGCTGAGTAGCTTGGCACAGGGGGATCCACAGGGCCCATAGGCCAGGGGCATCCTTCGTGGCCTCCTGGCCCTGTAGCCTTAGTGCTCCAGCTGTCACGGTGGTGGGAATTGCACGTTAAGTCACAGGTTGGTTGGGTTAGGGCATTAGGAATTTGGATCGGTGGGACCCGGTCCGAGGACTTCAAAGTCTGCACATCAAGGCATGAAGACACTGGCACGTAGCTGGCAGGCCGCAGGAAGAGGTCGGGCAGAGCCAAGAACGCCTAAGGGGCCCGAAGACCGGCAACCCAAGGTGACGAGTGGCCGGGGTGTAGGGGAGGTCGGAGCCCCGTGAGTGCCCACCGGGAGGTGTGATGATCCTGGAGGCTGCCTCGAAGGGGACCCCCTCCACTGAGGTAACATTCAAAGTCGTGGCAGGCGAGTCAAGGGAATCCCTTGACGTCAAGGTCTGGAATGGGCTCCCAAGGGAGGTGGTGCTCTCCCCTACCCTGGGGGTCTTCAAGGGGAGGTTAGATAAGCATCTAGCTGCGGTCATCTAGACCCAGCACTCTTTCTTGCCTATGCAGGGAGTCGGACTCGATGATCTATTGAGGTCCCCTAATCGAACAGAGGTGGGCACAAAGGGAGTTTTCTATCTTATAAGTGTGCTGCTGGTTGCTACTGCCCAAGTGCAGCACCCTGCACTTGTCAGTATTGAAATGCATCCTGTTTTTGTTAGCCCACCCCTGCAACCTATCCAGGTCTTGCTGCAGTCTTGACCTCTCTGCTAATGTGCCCACCTCACCCCAAATTTTGGTATCATCAACAAATTTGAACAGGTTGCTTTTCACCCCGTCATCCAAATCGCTGATAAAGAAATTGAACAGTGCGGGCCCAAGGACTGAGCCCTGGGGGACTCCGCTGCCCACTTCCCCCCAGGTTGAATATGACCCATCCACCACCACCCTCTGAGTACAACCCTTCAGCCAATTCACAATCCATCTGACCGTGTAGGCATTGATGCCACAGTCACTTAGTTTTTTAATGAGGATGGGGTGGTCGACAGTGTCAAAGGCCTTGCTGAAGTCCAGAAGACTACATCCACAGCGACACCTGCATCCAATGCTTTTGTGACCTGATCGTAAAAGGCAATCAGGTTGGTCTGACATGATCTGCCCCTAATGAAACCATGCTGGTTGCCCTTGAGCATCATCCCCAATGCCGGCCCATCACAGACCCATGTCTAAGGGATCTGCAAAAGATGATTATGATCAATCAGAAATATGTCAATACCCATGCTTACAATTCAAAGGGGTTCACACATCCATTCAAAATTTCCAAAGGGGTCCATTCAAAAAATGTTAGGAGTCTGCAAATGAAAAGAAGTTGAAAACCACTGTTCCAGTGCTTCAACAAAGACCTTATCTATATATACAAGCTTTGCTGATTTAACTACACTGGTATAATTAATGCAGTGAAATTACTCTATTGTGATATAGTGACATTGGTACAAAGTTATATTTAACTAGCTGTTCCCACAGAAAAGGGAGTTAGCTACACTGACATAAATCTAATTTATACTGGAATAACTGTGTCCATGCTAATGATCTGGAATTGTGTAATTGTTTTGGCAATGCTATCACATCCATAAACTCATCTAGTTGTACTGGTAAAACTTTGGGATGGATTTTTAGTAATCTTTATGCATGTTAATGGCACTTACCCAGCCAAATAAAAGGCATTTTTGGCACTTGTAACAGAATCACAAATTATATGCCTTTGCAGTATGAACTTGTAAGCTAAACAGGCTGTGCAGTGCACTAGCTAGGCAGATCTACATTTGTGCAAATACTGAGGAGGAGGGCTGTCCCATGTTTTAGCCCCAATAGTTGTATGGTTAGGGCAGTCCCAGGCAGCAGGGGACCTGTTCTAAGCCCCCCTCATCCAGAGTGGGGTTGAACCTGGGTTACTCTGACTTCTCAGCATAGTGCTAAAATCTCCACACCTCAGGCCAGTCATTATCTAGTCTTCTCCCTAACATTCCCTTTAAAACTGAGCTACTGTCCCTGAATTTAATAGTCACTAGATAAAATGCATGGAAAGCAGTACAGTGAGAGGTTGTTGTCCTATTGGGAGCAAAGGTTCAGGATAGAATCCAAGGCCTGCTCCCTTCCAGATTAGCATCCAGTTGACTCAGCCACATTCCCTCTGGTGGGTTATTTTCCTCCTAGACCCACATATTTTCCTCTCTGGGCTATTCAGGAGGCCAACTTCAAAGAAAATGCTGAAGAAGATGCTGGGTGACCAACACACAGCACATGTGCCACAGTTGGCATGAGCAGGCTCTCTGTATGGTATTTAGCAGATTGGGGAAGGAGCAGGGAACACAACAACAGATAGGGCAGAAAGCAGAGCAACAGATCAGGCAGGATAAAGGGATCAGAGTGGCACTTGGAGGATTAACGAGGATATGCTCGCATGAAGGTTGACCCCCACTGATCTAACCTATGGTGTGATACTTAGAACACTCTGCTAAGAAGCTGAAGGAGATGGGTTTAAACTCTCTCTGGATGAGGTAGGGGATTGGAGGGTGGGGCACAGAAAACCAGGTCTCCTGATTCCTAGGTGAATGCCAAAACCTGGGAGGGTCTTCCTCCTCCATATTTTTTCCAGGTCTTAGGTCCAATGTGCATGTACATAACTGCATATGTGCTGAGCTAATGCATAGCCTACTGAGCATGCGTGGCAACTATGTGAACAACTATGTATCCACTAGCCAATTGCCCGTCAAGAATGAGGGGGGCAGGGGAGAGGGGGCTGGGATGGAGTGCCACCACCTAACGCCCCATGCTGCCGCTGTTCTGCCTCCTGCAGGGAGTGGGGTGGGGGAACTGAGGCCAGTGCTGCTGGCCTCGGCTCCCTGACCTGCTGTCTGATCCTTAGCACCGCTTGCAGAGAGCGGGGTGGGCTGGCCTGGGCTCCCCCACCCCCTGCCTGGTCCTCGGTACCACTTGCAGGGAGCAGGGTGGCGGGGCCAAGACCAGAGGTGCTGACCTCGGTTCCCCCACCCTCTGTCCAGTCCTTGGCTTCAGAATAATGGCAGCACTCCCCCATGCTTGGAGCACTCTGATTAGCTGTTTCCATCAGCCAGTCAGAGCACGAATAAAGTGTTACGGACAGACAGACAGACAGACTTAGGCTTTTATAATATTAGAATATTCTATGGGTAAGAGAGGATAATAGAACCTCAAACTGTATTTAAATACAAAAATGCCACTCAACTTGACTGAGCAAGTGCCATTTAGGTGCACAAATGGTAACAGATTTTTGGCCTTGGTGTTTATACCATGACAAAATTCCTGTTTTTATATTCAGGGGATGCTGCAGAGACAGCTGTAAAACTAATCAGAAGCATGTGCTTCCAAGGGAACTGCTTGTCCTCAGTTGAAAATATGGGCTAGTTTATAAACAGGATATAACAGATTAAGGAACAGTTAGTTAGAATGCTCCAAGAGTTCAGTGAACTAAATGCTTCCCTAACGTAGCTCCATTAGCCGCGCCACAGTATAGTGTCAGTGAATGTCATCCAGAGAGTTTTACAGCTGTAAACTCTTACTCTAATTCTTGCACCTATTATTGCTGCAATAACTAGTGGAAGATTAGCCACACCCTTATATGCATATTTAAAAATTGATCCTTCCTATATTGAATCCTCTATTGCAACCTTAAAATGCATGGAGATGGAGCAAGGTCAATTACAGTCCTGCAGTAAAATACTAAGATACAACCAAAGTTAAAAATCAGTGGGAAAAAAAGAGTGTGGGGATGGGATGTATCCATCATTCACATATAGGATTAAAATGCATGTATTGTAATGATGGGCCGCATCTATACAAGATGCTGACTGCTCAGTAGCTCGTTACTACAAAGCGTGACACATCACTACTGTGCAGTAGTAATGAGCTACTGTACAGTCAGCGTCACCAAGAAGCCATGTAGGGATGCTACTACACAGAAATTTAGTACTTGTGTATGCGCAATTGGGCCAGTGGTGATGCCTAGGGGGTGCACGGAGGTGCAAGTGCACCCCCTGAAAGCGCTGGTGCACCCCATGTCAGGCCATGCTCCCTGTTTAGGTGGTGGGCATGGGAGCAGGCAGGAGCGCCAGTGGCCCCCCCCCACAAATGCTGGACAGGGAGCGGGGCCACCTGCAAAAGCCACCATGCCACTTCTGGAAGTGGCTGTGGGACTTCCAGAAGCAGTGTGGCTGCTTTTTGGTGAGTGAGATTACCCATGGGGGGACCCCCTGGCCCCCAGTCAGCATGATTGGCTGCTGGGGGACCCCTCCTGGGGCAGTGAGATTGGCCTTGGAGGACCAGTCGCTGACTGGTGTCAGGGGGGCATGTGCCCCCCCTCCCCCCCCCGACTCAAGAGGCACCAGTTGTCCGTGAACTGAGCAATCAGTGTCTCATGTAGATGCAGCTACTGTGTACTATAAAAGAGAGAGTCAGGTACTTTGCCTAACTACACTTCTGTCATTACACTATATGATTTAAGCCAAAGGTTTTACATTCTTAAAAATAAAAATGTTTATCTTGGAGTCATAGAGAAGTAATATCTTTCATTGGCATTTTTTTTAAATAAAAGGAAGAAAATCAAACGACTTGGACTATTGATATCCCCAGACAAAATATTACATATAATACAGGTAAGAGCTATTTTTCTAGATACCTTTTCCTGTCAATGTATTTATTCCAATAGAAATTTCTGTTTCTTATTTCTATTACATTACTAAGTTCACCCATCTTTTCCACCTTAAAGAATTTCATCTCCTCCTTGGACCACTCAGTTCAGTGTATATCATGCCTGCATATAGTGGTCTCACAACCATTCTAAAAATAGTTAGTTTGGTTAATTTTTCCTTATAAATTAATATTTATGTTATTTTTCCTTTTTCATTGTCAAAATCTTTTTGATACTGAGAAATACAATTCTAAATATTTAAATGAGAACTGAAGGTGCTTAAAGCTTAACAAATTTGGTCAGACTATTTAATGATCTTGACTTTAGGCACTTATTTTTTAATACATTTTCTATTGATTATTCCTTCCTGCTTGAGGTTTCATCCCTTTGAGGTACAAAATCACAATGGCATGTAATGGTACAAATGTTCGATATTACTATCATCTGAGGTTTGTTTGTTTTTTAATTACAACTTCCTATGCTTATTTCTTCTATTAAATATTGGTTTTTTTCCCTATTGATTAGCTTTTATTTTCCCACTGGTTTTTTTTCTATATTTTTGTTTTTTTCTAACATTGCCAGGTATTTGTCAGTTGTCACTTGTAATTACAGAACCTCCTAATTTATTGTCCATTAATTTAATTAACATTTTGCTTATTTCCACTTCCACATCATTAGTGAAATGGCAAATAAGCCCAGCAAACACTGATCACTAGGACATCACAGTACATAGTCCACAGCTCCATACGCTGTAGTTCATCATGTCTCTCAGCTGGCTGTCCTTCAGCTGTCTTTCATTCTTTCACAATGTTTGCATCCAAAATTATGACAATAAATATTTGACTAGGAGATTGTGAGACCGTGGATCAAAAATCTAAGTACATATTTCATATTATATTCTGTGTATATATATATAACTGCCTCATTATATGAAATGTTGAGTTATGCAGCTACATAATAAGTACGCTTTAGGATGGATCCTGATGCTTCCTACTCAAATTTTATTCTGTCCTTCTTGTGGCGGAGGTGGGGAACAAAAGTCCTCGTTGACTTCAATAAGAATTTCAACTGAATAATGACATTTGACCATTTTGTAAACAAAAAATCATGGAGTGGAGTCAATCCTTTCACAAAAGTCCATGGGGAAGTACTGCATTAAGATAGGCCAAATTATGGAAAAAAAATTCTGTGAAATGGTTTTTCTACTGTGTTGTTTTTTTTTAATAAAGCAAAAGCTGTCCTGACATGTTTACTTTATGTTCAACCAGATGTTGCTTCAATAGAGGAATGGTTTGTAAACTTCATGATGCATTATGGATTAAACAAGTTTACAACTAAAGGAACTTTATTGGATACTCTTAGAGGTAAGAATCATTTGCAAAGATAGGGAATCTTGTGGAATTTCCAGATGACAAAAAAAACTACACTAAAATGAAGCTAATATCAGTTAAATGTACACTTAAAATCCAGGCATGTTAAAATATAAAGCTATACAATTAGAATATAGAAAGAAACATAACTGCCCTGCATTGAGACAGGTAGGGAACGAATATTGAAAAGTAGTCGTTGAAACGAGTTTAATATAATGTTGGGCACAATCATTAAACATTTTAATAACATTCATACAGCAGGACAGAATTAATCTGAAGAAAGACAATTCTATCTGTGAAAAGATTTAACCATATTTATTATACGTATTTGTTCAGTTAGCGTCATTAAAAACTATCATTTCTAATTCAAGTGTAAAATCTATTGTAGAGGGGTCCTAGTCAAGCCACCTTTTATTAATATTGCCTGACACGTCTAATAAAAGGCACTGTTTTCATATCTTATAATTCTGCAAAATTAACTACCCTAAATTATTTTGTGCCACCCAGCTGCCTCAGGCAGAATATTTTGGGGAAATTTCAGCCAGATTTCATCCATTTCTAACAAGGGAGAACATCCTGGCCCTTGGCCCAGCTAGGCATCCCATGCTTCTGCTTACCAAATCCCCAGGCTACAGAGGGGCAGGAGCTGCCCCAGGGATCCCCTGCTTCCAGGTCAGCCAGGGGCAACAGACACAGTAGTTAGGTTCCCACTTCTTGCACCCAGAGGTGATCCCTGCTGAAAAGGAGGAGAGGGGAAGTGCCTGCATCGGAGGGAAATGGGTGCTGGGATTGGTAGTGGGGGGAGTCTTATCTGGATTAGAGACTCCAAAAAGTCCCTGGAAGCTGCTGCCATGGCACTGTCTTGCCTGCAGTAGAGGAGAGGGGGCTGTAACCTTCCACATGGCACTTGTGACATCTCCTGAACCTCCTCTTTTCAAATTCTTAGATCCATCCATGAACAACGATTGCCTTCTTTTAGGTACGTAGGAATGAGAATAGAAGCATGAGGAGTGGAGACTGGGGCTTGGTAGTCAAGGAGAATAGGACTAGGACAAGGAGCAAGGGCTGGAAACAATATAGGACTGTAACATAGGCATGTTGGAGGGGATAGGACAAAAGATGCAAGCTTCTGCCTATTAGAATACTCTCCCTTCCAGAGGCTGGAAGTTAACTCAAGATTCATAGGTCTCACTCTTCTGCTGTCAGCAATTATCTGTGTAACCCACTGGCAAAACGTGGATGCATCTACACAATACCATACAGCAACATTGTTACTGCACCATGCTTTAGTACTTCCTTTTGTAAGTACTAAAACATAGCTCAGTAACTGCCCATATTGTGCCGTACAGCCAGTACATGCTTAAATTTTCCCACTACATTGCTGTAGCAGCGCACTATTGTCACAACCCAAAGTTGTGAGTTTTTGTTTTGTGTGTGCTTCGGCACTGCTAAATTATGTTCCCACTAAATTGCAGCTTCTTTGCCCGGTGGAGTTCTCTCCTACAGAGTAAACCTCCGGTGCAACGGAGAATTTTCCCGCCAATTTGTAGCGCCATATAAAGAGCTTGGGTGGTTGCCGCCCAAGTTGGAGAGAGAGCAATTGGAGTTTGAGAGGGAGAGCGTGAAGATCTCTAAGCGCTGCGGATCCTTACGGACCCAACGCATTTCTTAAGAAGGCAACAGAGGTCTAAACAGCCTCTGGCCTCTCCCCGTCACCGAGCGCAATCCTAGACGTATCCCTATCCTATATACTCAAGATCCGAACCCATGGAGCTTTAACAACTCCAGGGCCAGACAGCCGAACCAAACCCATGGAGCTTCGACAACTCCGTGGGAAAGAAATTGCCGAACCCACGGAGCCTTAACAACTCCGGGGCCCAAGAACCAAATTTGTCGTAGTCCTCCAATGAGGATTTAAGCAGAGCTGAACCTGGAAACTGTCCAGCCTACACCGCGACCATCTTGGGTGTAAGTAAATAATATTTGAATCAACCAATACGCCTCTGTGACTAATTCTAGCCCGTGCGTGCCTTGCCGCCGCACGGTCTCCTCTGACCCCGCATGCCCGGGCTGCTGGCCACAGCCCGCATGCGCAAAGACGGGTCCGCTTATCGCTCCCGGCTCGCACATGGCGACATGGATGGGATTGGGAGGCGGCCCGCACAACTATAAGCCAGGGGTGCACTGCTACAGCAACAACGCAGGTCTACATGTGATCGCTAGCTATATCGCTATGTTGCCATAGTGCATTGCTGTAGGGCAACATGTAGATGTGCCCTGTGTCTCTAATTCTCCTCTCTAGTCCCAACCAAATATTACTGTCAGTAACTTTGCTGGTTTAATGTCAGAGGTTTGTGTAGAGTACCTAAATTCTAGCCCTACTGTTGAACAATATGGGTGTAAGCTTGTCAACTGCATGATGGAATTTGTTTTTTTATTTAGCTTTTTTTTAAACTTGTACAAATGCATACAAAAATGCTGGTCTTTCAAAATAAATGTTAAATTTCCAACTCTAGCTTCACAAATTAGAAAAAAACAGAAACAAGTTTGCCCATTAAACCTTAATTCAACCCCCTTATGCATTATGTCTAGGGATCTACCTAAATCATGGTGAGTAAAAGAGATTTTTGCAGGCTGTTTGCAGTGCACAGAGCCAATTTCACGGCCTTTTCATGGCGAGTCCACTCCTTGCGGCTGATTAGCTGAGGAGCCCAGTAGTCCCACACTTCATTGCTGATTGGCCAAGAGGGATGTCTGTCATACGGCCCCACCCCTCACTGATTGGCGGAGTGGGGCAGAGACATGCCGTGGACAGCCCTCTCAGCCAATCAGTGACGAGGGGTGGGGGGGTGGCCACCATCTTAGTTGCTCTTCTTTGTTCTGACAGCTCCACTCTCCACCCCCTCTGACAGGTTGCAAGGCCAGGCCTCAGCAGCCATGAGGACTGCTGGCTCCCCAGTGGGGAGCCAGCATTTTATTTTTAGTAAGTTGGGGTTTTTTTGATTTTACAGACAATGCCCAATTTTACAGTTTCTGCAAAATTGTGAATTAAGTAGGTTCCTAATTATGTCTTGTGGGGTGGTCTTTATTACATGGTCGCATTCTATTTTTATCCCAGGACCCTGCCTCATCAAGTCTCCCACACAGCGTAGTGAATGTAATCATTGTTTTTAGAATCCCTGCTTCATTGTTGTAGATGCTGGAAAGTAGGTAGTAAATGATGGAGGGGACTGCAGGAAAGGAAAGAATGGCCCATGTCTAAGAAAATGTATGCTGCCCTACAGAATTGGACTCTGTCTTTGCCTCTGCCATATAGTTCCTGTGTGATGTCAAACAAGTCACCTAAACTGAACCTGACAAAACTAGTCACTGAAGAAGATATGGTTATTCATTCTCTGTATATCCAGTTTAAGACCCTGGGAGCAAGTTCTGAACATCCTCCCCACCTCCCTCTTTTCCCCTGCAGTGCAACCAAAGCCAGTTGGGAGCTGAACCTGATTATATACATTTCTCTGTTATTGATTATTGATTATATACACTTCTCTATAATGCCAAATACTCTGAAATATTAAATCCCAGGTTAGGATCCTAAAATGAATACACACTTTTTATCTTAATCTGTGCCTTAGTTTACCACATGTAAAATGGGAATCATATCACCTTTTTCATTCTCGGTGGTTTGTGAAGATTACTTTTTAGTGTTTTTGAAATACTTGGATTCTGTAGTGATGACCACCATAGAAAAGCCCATGAGGAAATGAATAATTAGTAACAGTATGAGTAACATTATGCTGTAGGGAAGGCATAGTACCATATATTGAACAATGAGAAAACAAAATGTTGCTATGTATTTACGTGAGTACCATTCAACCTATATATCTTAAATATTTTAATATTCTACCTGCTTTATCATTTATCTAATTTTTGTTGTAAGCCACCCTAAGCCTTTTATGGGTAGGGTAGCATATATGCCTAATAAATACATAATAATAAAGCATATGAAAAAGTGGGCTGAACTAAAGTTGCAGAGGGACAACCTTAGTTTTCTCTTTTACAAACTGTTAAGAACTTAGCTTTGCCACCAACATAATGTCCTTTTTGTCTAGTTTTTGTGTATTACATTTTAACCAGCAAAGATGAGCTCTTTCCATGGCGTTTCATACAAATGTTTTTTGCTCTTGCATTACTATTACTGTTGCTACTTACCCACAGTATTTAGTCTCTTGCCAATGTTTGTCTTTTGCTTATCCTGAAATATATAGTTGGTAAATTGTTTTAAACAAAAGAACAAAAAAACAAGCATGCATTGTATTCATGCTTTGAACACATTGAGCATCTATTATTTTTTCTTCCACAGAGCCACTTCTTCAATGGCAACTGGGTGAACCAGTATCCCCTGATGAAATTAGTTCTCTAATACCTTATGTACGAGGTATCAAATTGTCAAAACGCACTTGTGCCAATGATGTGGCATTACTTGCTCTCGTATGTAATGGTACAGTTGAAGGTATGTTATATATCTATGTGTGTGCATATATGCACTGTAATGTCAACAAAGTGTAAGGCAATGAATGCCAGATAAAATAGTGGGTATATGCTGGATAGAATAGTGTGGGTTCTAAACTAGATGTAACTTCTGTTACCTTCTGTAACCAGCTGCATGAATGATGCATGCCCCCGGTGGCTGGGGGGACGGCAGTGGCAGGAGCACAGTAGCTGTAAGTGAGAGCTTCTGCAGATGCCACCGGTGGTGGCGGGGGGCTGGCAAGGGGCGGCTCTCCCCAGGAGCTGCCAATAGTGTCAGTAGCGCCTTTTTGTAGGGGGTGCACCGCCACACTCAGGGGGTGCACATGCGCCTCCTATACATCACCCCTGACCAGCTATATTATCCTCTCAAGTGTGCCTACTTAGTGAAGCTATCCAGCTCTCAGCAATCCTAGTATGTGCTTGTCTAATGTGTTTTTAAAATCTTAGGGAACAACCCTCATGCACTACTACAAGGCATAATGCCCCAAAACATCAAAAAATACCCTTTAACTTGTCACGATTTAATACATTTTCAAATAAGCACCTTTCTGCTTTCTCCCAAACTGCTAATCATGTTTGGAAAGAGCTTTCTAAACTGTTTCATTATTTTCCTTCCAATTCCTCTATAAAACTCTCGCTTGCTGTGGTACTTATAAAAAACTTAGTAGCTACCATTCTTAACCATGCCAATCAGTATTGTTTGGTTGTTTCCACAGAATGTCCTGTGTGCATCAATCTGTTGTTTCTTATTATACTGATAGTATAGAGGTGAATAACATATTGTGGCATAAAAGGAAGCAGGGTTTTACCCATTCAATTATGAGAGGCAGAGATTGTACTTTTGTGTGACTAAAATCCAAGCGGTCCCTGTGACAGGACCCGCAGCGCAGGGGTGCCCTTGGTGGACACATGACTCCTGCTCCCTCTGACCTCTTGGTGTGCCCTTTCTAGTTTTCTGCTGCCATACCTTGATGTTGCTCAAAGGGTTTGGGAGGCTTCCCCGAGAGCCCAGAGAGGATCCAGTCCATTGCAAACTTGCCACTTAAGCAATCAGTTAGAGCCCTTCTGGCCCTATTGATGTTCCAGGACACCAAATACTTTGTGTGCTGTTTGTGGCCTCCACCACCCCTATAACCATGCCCATGACTCCCAGATGTCACTCCAGATTTTCTCACATCAGCTTGTACAGGATTCAGCCCTCTTGGCCTTGGCCCACTACTGTAGCTGTGGGCTCCTAAGCCTAGGCCCACTTGCACTGGCTTGGCTCCCCAGTCTAAGCCCTATCATCAGCCACCACCTGGCCCTTGTCACCTCCTCAGGGCTCAAGCCCTAGCCTCATTCAGCCTGAGGCTGCCTGCACCCACTCTCTGGATCAAATTTTAAGCCCCTTTTTTAGCTTCCGCTTGTCCCTGTCCCTTAGCTCGAGCCCCCGCCCCTGGCAGAGTCCAACTCTGGCATGCCCCTCTGGCACTCCTGTGTTGCCTCCTAACCTCCCCTGATGGCCACTATGGGCACATCTACACATGCAAGCACATGCTCTTGCAGCAGCTCAAATTGAAGCGGTGCAAATTTGAGACAGGGCTTGTTGCCTCGGTGCACATGCCCAGACATGCACTTTGATGTGGGGCAAATTGTACCACTTGGGGCAAAATAACCCTGCCTGGCTCCTCCTGGATCTGCAGCCAGAAGGAGCTAGAGCCCAGGGCCAGCACCTGTGATGTTCCCAGCAGTATAAAAAGCTGCCCTGTCCTGACCCCATCAGTACAAAAAGCTGCCCTCTCAAGTAGCTCAGGGCTACTCACTCTCAGGAGCTTCTGGGACCTAGCCAATTGGTACCTGCAGATCCTACCCCTTGTGCCTGCTGGACTGCTGAAGCAGCCCTAAGAGTTTCCTGCACATTTTGCCCACTGCAGCAGTCTGGCAGTGGGGGCTGCTGCCTGGTTGTGACCTGCTGTGCACCTGCTAGACCCAGATGGGGACTGCTCAGCCAGTAGAGGCAGCGGGGGGCAGCAGGGCCTGGGCTGGTGCTGCTGCGGCTATCACCCAGCCCCGTGCTTTGTGGGGGGAGGGGGGGCCCAGCGACCCTGACAGCGGCTGCTAGTGCCGGTTAATGTGGGGGTGAGGGGGTTGGGATTTTTAATCTGTAGGATGCTGGGCCCAGAGGGACAGTGATCAG